ATGGAATACCCGAACCTAGATTATTAATTATTAATATATCAATATTATTTATCCAAACCTAATTACGAAGCATGATTCTTCGCCAAATAGGATTCCGAAGCACCAGAAGCATCCACGTAGGCTCAGCGCATTCTGGAATTATATATAGGGAGGATTAGATGGTCAGTTATGTCCTTAAGCCAAAATTAGTCCATGAAGCCCAGGTCGATATAATCAAACGAGTAGTGCTTTCCTACCCACGGTGTGCACATGTTAATATGCCTACCACGTAGGTGGCACACACTCATTGGCGATGTTAATATTTTTTAAAAAAATACATCACCAATGAGTGCATGCCACCTACGCAGTGGACATATTAACATGGATCCACCGTGGGTAAGTGAGCATTTCTCATAATCAAACTAAGTTGTCAAATTAACCCATAGAGCTCACACTGATATAGTCAAATTAGGTCGTCAAATTAGCCCATATCCCACACAGGAATCATGTCCCTCGGCTGCTCGGCAGACACAAATATGAGAGAAAATTCAGTATTAATTATTCGGCTACAACTAGGCTAAAATTTAGCCTAGGGTCACAGGTCAACCGGCCTGCTGACCCGGCACAGACCCGGCCCGGTCAAACCCGTTTACCACGGGTCCGGGCCCGGCTCGGATTTCATAAGAGCCAATCCCGGGTCGGGATTTTTTCGACCCGGCCGGGCCGGGCCGAGTCCGGGCCAGGTCAGGGCCGACACGACAAAAATGTATAATTTTTGAACTTTTCTTTTTTGTTTCTTTTTTTTAGGACGGGTCAAGACCCGAGCCGGGCCCGGCCCGGACCGCCGGGTCATCGACCCGGCACGAACCTAAGCTGTGCCGGTTCAGGGTCCGCCATACCCAACCCTTCGGGGCGGACCCGGATTTTGGCCATGTCTAGGCTAAACTACTTGGCCCAATAAGTAATTCAACCTCTAAGCCCAATGGAGAATCAGTTTTTATACGCGTGTTCGTCCTTCAGCCCTAAAGTCCCCTTCCACATCGTCGTCTTTCCCGTTCATCTCCTCAACTCCGGCCATTTCCCGACCAGTGTCCTCCTGGGACGAATCAAAGCTTTTGAAATGTTAATCGGGATATGACCATTGAATTTTCAAGGTAAACGTAGCTTATAAACCTATTTTCTTGATCAATCTAACACTATCTCACAATTGAAAACTGTATCTCCGAATCTCCGGTCTTATTTCCGGAGTTTGGTAGTTCCTGTTTAGTTTGCGTTTGTGTTGTATTGTCGGTAATATGTGGCGCTAGGAATTGCAAGAATCTCCGTGCTTAAGGTTCAGGTTGCTATATAAATGTTGTACTGCTAATTGTGTATCTCAACACTTTTCATATCTGTCCCATCAAACAACAGTCTGAATCATGGTACATTCTAAATGCTACTGCCTTGGTTTGCAGTTGTGAAAATCGATCTGCTCAGGTGCCCTTTTGTGGCAATTTCGGAATAGAGAGCAAAACATGGCCTCAATCGATCTGCTCAGCAGCTTGCCGGACGATGTCATATTCCACATTCTCTCTTTTCTCCCGACAAAGCTCTCAATGGCGACCAGTGTTCTCGGAAAAAGATGGAGGTTTCTATGGGCCCATGTACCTTCTCTGCATTTCAGTGGACCACCACCCTTGTGCAATTTCACGGAAGAAGGAGCACGAGCCTTGTACTATTTCAAGAAAGAAGGAACACGAGCCTCGGACATGATCCACAAGATAATATTGCGGCACAAGGCAAAAAGAATTGATTCTTTAACACTATATCACTTCAACTGCAGTGAGTATCAACTGGAGACATTGATTACAACCGCCATAGACCGTAGTATCCGGAATCTTTATCTTGAACTTAAATTCCATGCAATCCCTAAATCTCTCTTCAACTGCAAAACCATAGTCGACTTGACACTTTGTATCAGTACAATGTCACTTTCGGCTGTGGACAATGTCTCTTTGCCTAGCCTCAAGAAGTTTCATGTTTCTACTAATGTTGTGTGTGAGAATGATGGAGCCCTCCCTCACTTTCTTTCTGGCTGTCCGTCGCTCGAGGAGTTGAGTATGGCAATCATCTTTGATTATGATTATGTGGGCTGCATAAATATATCATCACCCACGATAAAGACTCTCAAGCTAGATCTTAGCTATGAGTTTGATCCGGATGAACCTGAATATATGTTGATAATAAATACCCCGGCACTTAGATATCTCCAAGTGGATGACTATGACTTGGAGTGTATAACAATTCCTATAGCCATGATCTCCTTAGATGATGCGAGTATCTGCTTAATATATTATTCCTTCTCAGATCTCAAAACAAATTACATTTCCAAGGTGAAGTTTCTTCATTCTCTGTGTTATGTGAAGTGCCTAAAGATATCAGGTTGTGATTTTGATGAGGTATGTAATATGTTTTTTATTCTTCATTCTCTAAGTCTCTAAGGCCTCCTGTCAATTAGGTTTCGGCTTTGTTATTATATATATGCATAATGTGGTTTTCATATTTTCAGTTTGTTGATGGAGGAGTTGCTTTTTCAACTGTAAAGTTTGATAATTTAACCAAACTTGAAGTCCAGTTGAACTTCAAATGGAGTTTGCTTGTAAAGTTCCTTGAAGTTGCTGATAATCTTCAAGTCCTTATAGTAAGTGGAGTTTATCGTTGATGCAATTAAATTTGTCTTTAGCTGTTTCTCGTTTTTCTTACAGCAATCGCTCCTTTTAGTGCGATCAGGTTTATTGTGGAAAGGGATATTTGTGTGAGGCGCCCGAACAAGTGCCTAAATGCCTGTTATCATGTCTAAGAACAATAAAAATCAAGTCGATGGCTTTCAATAAGCATGAATTCAACATGGTAAGATATCTTTTGAGGAATTCTCAAGTATTGGAGAGGATGGAACTATTTTTTATATGTAATGATCTGGAAACGAAACTCCAAAAACTCCAAAAACTCCAAGCGTTTAGGAAAATTTTGTTGTTTGAGCGAGGATCCGATGCATGTCAGCTTGACTTCCTTCCGGATTGCCTGAGTGATTCCAAACCCTTAGGAAAATTCTCAAGGAAGTACTGATTAATGTTCGACAACTTTAACGTTCCTCAAGTTCTGTACTAACTATTTTGACTTGCTTATGTTTCGTGCCATTGTGAGACGATGAAAATATTGGGTGTGTAACATGATGATTCATAAACTTCCTAGTTTAAGTGTTATGTTCAGTGTTGCTCAAGTTTTAGTGGCATTTGTACCCACACTTGTTTCTGTAGTAGCAGCTGCTCATTTACTAGCAAGTAATTCTCAACTATTTTTTGTCTTGAGTTTGAGTTTAAGCTTAATGTATATAATTGGCATGTTTTGAAGATTCGATGTATGACAAAATAAAAGTATTTTGAAATCACGTTCTTAATAACCCCCCTCTTTATTTTTAAATAATGACTACTCGCAAAAAAAAAAAAAAA